AGAAAGGAAATTTTTTAAGACGGCAGGCAGCAGGCGTACCGATAAGGGACCTTATCCATGCAGAATGATAAAAAAAATTGGAAAATTAAAGCTAAACAATTTTTTTTTTCCGCATAGGTTCGTTACAAGGAGAGTCTTCCTGTGGTGCTGCATGGTGTCTCTTGCATATTTCCTGGTGGTCAGAAAATCGGAATAGTGGGTCGTACTGGAAGTGGCAAATCTACCTTAATTCAGGCCCTATTTCGATTGATTGAGCCAGCTGGCGGTAAAATAATTATCGACAATATTGATATATCCACAATCGGTCTTCATGACCTTCGAAGCAAGTTGGGTATCATACCCCAAGACCCCATATTATTTGAAGGAACTATTAGAGGCAATCTTGATCCACTCGAAGAGCATTCTGATCAAGATATTTGGGAGGTATATATATATATTGGTTTCTTAAATTCTATTTTGCTTTATATATTGATACTGTATGTAATTTGGTACACAGGCTCTTGATAAGTCTCAGTTAGGAGACATAGTTCGCCAGAAAGAGCATAAACTCGATACGCCAGGTAAGCATGCATAAATCCTTAAAAATCGAGCTTAAATTAAATCACTGGATTCTGAAGAAAATAACAATAATAATTATAATAATAACGAGGAATTGTTTTTTGTTGGCAGTTTTAGAAAACGGAGATAATTGGAGCGTGGGGCAACGGCAGTTAGTATCTCTAGGTAGGGCTTTGCTTAAACAGGCAAAGATTTTGGTTCTTGACGAAGCTACAGCCTCGGTTGACTCAGCCACAGATAACCTTATCCAAAAGATTATAAGAACGGAATTCAAGAATTGCACCGTTTGCACTATCGCTCATCGAATTCCTACTGTTATTGACAGCGACCTCGTTTTGGTCCTAAGTGATGGTAAATAAATCTTCTATCATTCCTCGAAACTTATGCTAACAAAAAAGATATGCTAATTTTGTATTTATTTATCTATTTTTCCGTATGTTTTGCAGGTAGAGTGGCGGAGTTTGATACCCCGTCGAGGTTATTAGAGGACAAGTCTTCGATGTTTCTTAAGCTTGTGTCTGAATACTCATCAAGATGAAACGGGGTTCTTGATATTTTATCTTTGTGCATGAAATTCTTGTGAAAACGGGAACAAGAGCACTAATCGAGTTCTATATCAGAAAAAAACCGGATTTGCCATATTGCTGCTCTGGTAATGCATTCGGCAGATGAATGAGAAAAAAACATGCGAATCTTGATTGCCATGGAGAAATGGAAAGCCCAAGTGGAAAAGAAAGAGATTAATTAGTGTGAAATTAAAAATGGGATTAGTATAATCTTATTAATGGGGGAACTTCTTACAAGCTCCAAATATGTACATAGAATAAGTTTGTTTGTAGGAAGAGTGGCGGTTTGCCATCAACTAAGGAGCGGCTTCATGTGCAATAAGACAAGACTTTTTTAGATTTTTTTTATTTTATTTTATTTTTTATTTATTTTTGGCAGCAAATTTTGTAATGTACTTACTACTTGTAGTTGTAGTTGGAGGATAACTAGTGGGGTTTTTCGCAACTAAATACCTATCCCACACTATTACATACTATTCAGAACAATCTCAAATTTTTGTAGCAGTACAATTGAATTATAAGAAAACAAAGAAATTGAATTGTAAGAAAACAAAGAACAATCTCAAATTTTTTGTAGCAGTACAATTGAATTGTAAGAAAACCAAGAAATTGAATTGTAAGAAAACAAAGAGGCGAACCAAATGTTAGTTGATTGAACTGGCAAACGGGATAACAATGACGAATTGTCAACAACTTGTGGATACTATCTCCGTGAAAATTATGCAAACACCTACGATGTGATAACAAATTTAGAGCACCCAGAGACGAATCTTCGCCCTTCGCGAGACAAATAGAGCAAGTTGTCTGATGTAAGAAAATCTTAAGGCGATGAAATTAGAAAGTTATCAACAAATAATGACATTCTAGAACCAAATGCTAGTTGATTGAACTGGCAAACGGGATAACAATGACGAATTGTCAACAACTTGTGGATACTATCTCCGTGAAAATTATGCAAACACCTACGATGTGATAACAAATTTAGAGCACCTAGAGACGAATCTTCGCCCTTCGCGAGACAAATAGAGCAAGTTGTCTGATGTAAGAAAATCTTAAGGCGATGAAATTAGAAAGTTATCAACAAATAATGACATTCTAGAAACTTCACAAAGACTCTATCATGGTACATTCTATTTACCTTCTAAAGTATACCTAAAACTTTTCATGGAGTGTTGTAGAGAGTCGCTTTAAACTCTACGACATAATCTATCATCACCATCCTTCAAAGAAATGTAGTAGTATAAATGGAAGTATGGTTTTTATTCATAAATCAACAAGGCAAACATGTTATGGAAGTATGGTTTTTATTCATAAATCAACAAGGCAAACATATAAACAGTTAGAATGGTGATAACAAATTAAATGCAAAACACACAATTACACAAAAGTTATGACCCATACATCACCACATGTATGTCATCTACATAGTTGCATGTCTATGGTTGGTGAAGATTCCTATAGATTGAGGCCGCGTTGGGCGACACTCTACAAATCGTTGGTGGCGCTCCACAAAACCGACAACGGCACTAAATTTTGGTTACCTAATTATGATATACATAAATTTTGGTTGTGTGATATTCCCATACATAAATTTTGCTTATGTGATATTCCCAGATTAGATTTGCTAGCAAAGGAGAATAAATTAACAAAAAAATCTATACTCTGTAATATATATTATAAAGACCATGGTTATACCTGCTGCGCCCACACACTCCCCAAGACGCGCGTATATCTGCACGAATGTTTATTAAATTGTGGTTAAACTATTAAAAATATATAAATGAACGAATAGAGTCATGTTTAAGTACTGTTTCTAATGTATATTTCGACTACTTACAAGTAATTTTTATATATTTATTACACTAAATCTAAAAAATCAATTTATTTTCAACTTACCGCAAATTTGTCGTGTGCCGGTGCCTAACCGCCGGGACTCACGCTTCTTAAAACCTTGGAATTTCTTATGTTCTTGTTATATAGAAAAAGTATATTTCTATGTATATATTAATGTTTTAAGGCAAAATGATCATGCCAAATCCTTGATATATTCTAGGTGGTCATTTAGGCTTGAGTGAAATATGCAAAAGAGAGGAAAAATCCAGACTTAGGATGGAGTTCCTACTCCGACTACCAAGTTATTGATTTTTTCTGAAAAACCTTCTCTCTTGGGTTATAAATAATAGGGTTGTGGTTTCTAACTCCTTGGCATGTACTGGCTTGGTATTTATAAAGGGTATGGATGGATGATAATTAAACCTGTTCAATCATCTCAGTAAAGTATCTTTGGACTTCAAATTACTGTTCAATTTCTTTACGGTCTTTCTATACAAACATTCTCCGAGCATGTCAGTTGATTGGACGTGCATTAAATGTTGTCACATGTCTTAAGCGGCTAACGCTGTCGCTAGTTTGTGGTCAACTATCTCTTGCTATTTCATGGTCGATCATTTTCTCGTTTATCAAGTGTTTGTCTCGCTCGTGAAAGGTTACTAGCGGGTGCCTAATCTCGCGGAATTTGAAACGAGACCACTTGATGTTTGCTTTGAATCTTATGGGTCTTTTGGGCAGACCTGATTATAGAGACCTGCTTATTGAGCTCGGATGGTTGAAATTGATCTGGATCACATGGTAGTACTATTGAGTACCGTTGTCCTATTAAAATATTTCGGTGCCATACGTTAATTTTACTAGTACTATTGTAATTCAAATGAAATTTTCGGAAGAAAATCAGCAGAGTAGAACACCCCTATTAATAGGGCTGTTTGAACAATTCTCCACTGATTTTTTTTTTTTTTGGTAAATTATGAAAAACTCTCTCAACTAAAGTTGAATTAACCAACTGAACTTTAGTCTAGTGGTAATAGGAGTCTCTCTCACAATGGTGTTCGGTAAAAGATTGGGGTTTTGAATCTCTTTAAGTGTTGGATGTATGCGTTGTAAGGTTAAATTACGAAAAAACTCCTCATGTTTGGGTAATTACAACTACAATCTTCTTACATGTCCACTCTTATGGTGTCAAATTCAACATAATCTTTTAGATTCCGTGAAATGTTCTCTAGTTTGTACTCGTTTCGTGCAAAAAATGTAGTTTCTGATGTACCACAATTTGATATATAGGTACAAAAAATGATCATCTTACTTTAAAATGTGGAGCTCGAATGAGATAAAACGGGTACAAATTTGAGAATATTCCATATAATCTAGAAGATTTCACTAAATTTGACACCACATGAGTTGACGAGTAAGAAGATTCATAGTTGAGAGGGTGGTTGTAATTACTCAAACAGGAGGGAGTTTTTCGTAATTTAACCTTATCTCGAGGGACGACCGTAATTTATTCTATTTATTATAAGGCCACTTTTTTTTTCTTTTATAAAAAGAAAAAGTTAGATTACCAAAAAAATCTATAATGTATTGATAGTTAACAAGTTCCTTTGACTAACAATTGACTAGAGTTCTTAACAGAAAAATATGTAAAGACTATAATGTCCTCGAGTTAAATAAATAAATAAAAAATTGAGTACCAAATCCTTCCTTGGCAGATTTCGCCAGTAACCGTCGATGGTCGGCAAAGGCAAATGTTGAACTTTTTTTTGCAAATTCCGACGTATTATGTATTTTAAATTATCAGAAAATAAAAAAATAGGATTCCTCGACTATGATCCCTTTTCTTTTGGGTCAATTATTTTCATTTCAATTTTCAAAGTTTTGATATCCGAGTTTTCGGAATTCTTTTGCAACGAAATTTGAATTGTTATCCGCTTCAAAAGATATTGATATTTTCCAAAAGTACAACCCCCATGACGTGTTTTAGTAAATATAGGATATTTTATGGGTTTTTTGCAAAATCCACCCCTGTGTAATCTCAAATTGCTAAAAAACCCCTCGTGTTAAAACAATTAGCACATAACCCCCTTTGAAAGTTAGTCAAGGGCAAAAAGGACCCTGCGAGCTCGATGTGTAATACACTCGCGGTTTGTGCGACTGTGCATGTGTTTTTGGACGTGAAAAACCACAAATACCCTTTAAATCACAAATTTAGAAAATTACAGATTCACCCCAAACTTTTCACATGCCCAAAATAAAGTTTTTAGATTTTTCAATTTAATCCTCGACATTTTCAAAAAAACCCTCTCTCCAAATCAACTAAAAACCTATCCCATTTTTTCATGAGTCTAACAGAAAGTGTATTCAAAACTTTGTCTAAATCATTATGAAAGAAGCTTTGTGTATATATTATAGTAGATACGATAATTAGTTTTGTTTGGGTTATTAAAGCTGCAAATTATAAGGATATAATCAAACTCCCTTCATCCGCCGGAGCAACGACGGTTGTGGCCAACATTCGGATTGATTAGAAACATACGCCGGAGGCCCATTACTCAATGGTACGGTGGATGCCGCAAGCTGTGAGATGCGGCCAATTATTTCCCTATTTCTAACTGGCGAAGAAATCAGCTCGATTCCTTTAATGGTAGAGAGGACGATTTCAGTTGTTGTAGAGGGTGGCTCTCCAACATGTGCGGCGGGAGACACACCATTATAGTACTCTGACAAGTAGTTGTTTGGATTTAGATTGGGGATGGGTTTTGGGTGGGATAAGGGTGGAGGGGCAGGTGTTTTGCTGGGGAAGAAGAACATAACATATTTTTATTTCATTTTTTTTTACTTTTTTTTTTGGATTTTATTTATCAATTTTTTTTTATTTTTTGGGTTGTTTTACTAGTAATCAGGGTAATTTTGTTATTTCATGTAGGTCAACAATCAAATATGATATAAGGGGCAGTGTGCTTTATAAAATAAAATATAGGGGGGTCTTTGCTAATATTTTTAACATAGGGACTTTTTTAGTAATTCAAGATTACACAGGGGGTTATATGCAATTAACTCGATATTTTATTTTAAAAAATCAAAAGCTAATATATATGCCATTTTATTGGGAGGTGCTATTCGCGGTTGCAAAATTACGAATGCGGGTTTAAAAAATCTACTATCTATCTTTCTTTCTCTCTCTACAATTTTAGCTTTTATATTAGAAATCATTCCAAAACTCATGTTATTGTAGTCATTTGCAAAAAAAAATGAGTGCATTGAATGAGGATCGAGATACGGAACCCAATGAGGTAAAATTTGTTCGTTTTTGTTCTTTAAATCGCGAAAATGCGACCCACGACTGTTGAGTGTAGATTTTACGCTCAAATACGTGTACTTTACGTGTATCTTTTGCTTAGATTTAATTATATTTATGCTTTAATTGATTGATTTTGTGTTTTATAGGTGAAAAACGAGAATTAGGTGTCCATGAAGGAAAAAAGATCAAAAAAGAAAGGAAAAAGTTGCAAATAAGGAAATAAATCAAATTGGAAGAAGGAATCTCGCCACAGACCAAAATGCGGGTCCTTACTAGGACTTACCAACTTACTTGACCAACTGGGCTACAGCTATTTTGATAACTAATATTTTTATTTAATTATATTCAATAAACTGGGCAAAAAATTTGAAAAGACAACCCCCATGACGTGTTTTAGTAAATATAGGATATTTTATTTTAAAAAATCAAAAGCTAATATATATGCCATTTTATTAGGAGGTGCTATTCGCGGTTGCAAAATTACGAATGCGGATTTAAAAAATACACTCTCTATCTTTCTTTCTCTCTCTACAATTTTAGCTTTTATATTAGAAATCATTCCAAAACTCATGTTATTGTAGCCATTTGCAAAAAAAAAATGAGTGCATTGAATGAGGATCGAGATACGGAACCCAATGAGGTAAAATTTGTTCTTTAAATCGCGAAAACGCGACCCACGACCAAAACGCGGGTCCTTAGAGCAACTCCAACCCGGTTATTAAATGGGGTATCAAATCCCTTAACTTCCATTTGACTCCCCAATTTTAAAAACTCTCTCCTCCAATGGGGTTATTAAAATAGGGTTCTATTTTGATAACTCATCATTCGGGGAGTAAAAATACATCCCAAATAAATAGTTATCAAATATTATCCTAAAAAATAGGAGCACGTGAAAAAAGAAAAACCTCAACATAATTGAGTTTTCTTTTCTGTACGTAAAAATCTCAACAGAATAAAATAAAATTTTCTACATCTTCAACAAATTTCTGGAAAAAAATCTCAACATAATAAAATTAAATTTTCTACAATTTCAACATATTTTTTTTTCTTTCTCTAGAGCTTCAACAAAGTTCCACGGAAAAAATAATCTCTATTTATATATAAATTTTTTTTCTATTGAAAAGGTAAAAACTTGATTCATATTGATTTTGAAGATAGTTTACCAGAAAAATCGGTTTGTATGGTTATTTAAAATAGATTGAAAAATAAATAATATATAAATAATCATAAATTTGTTTGATAATTGTTTTTTTGATATTTGTGGTTGGAGTTCACTAGTTGTATAGAGATATCAAAGTATAATCCTGGTTATGGTTGGAGTTGCTCTTATGACAAACTGGGCTACAGCTATTTTGATAACTAATATTTTTATTTAATTATATTCAATAAACTGGGCAAAAAATTTGAAAAGACGCGCTGTTGCCAAGAATCGAACACGGGTGTATGGTTTAATAGACGAGACACCTGACCAACTAGACTAAAGCAAGTTTGTTATTTAATACTTATTTAAATATAATAACTCATTTTGTTTATACTAGGCAAAAAAAAAAAATTGAACCGGACGACCGGTCCAGAACCGGCGTCTGGACCGGACACCCGAACTAATTTTCCATGCCCAAAATGGGCGCGTGAAAGCAATTTTCACGCCTGGTTTAGGCGTGAAAACTGCTTTCACACTCCCATTTTGGGCGTGGAAAATTCGAAAACCCAACACTAAAAACAGTTCCAAATCGCGATTTTTGGGGATTTTCACATGATTAACCACAAATTCAATATATATAACTAATTTAGATGATTAATTACCTTTTAAATTGACGAGATTTTCGGATTTGGAAGGATTTGTGAGAGATGTTGAGGATTTTTGTGAATTTTGGGGCTTTTGGGGGGTTTTGGGGTTTGAGTGGATTTTGGGGTTTTTAGAGAGAGAAAGAGAAGACTATTGTGAACGACATTCATAATTTTGCTGCCGCGTAAATCATTTCAGCATTTTATTTTGTCAAATCCTTTTCTTTTAGAAGTTTTTAACGACATTATTTTGACAGAAGAGTTTTAGTAAATGTATATTTAAAAATTCTAAACCTAATATATCTCATCTTATTCTTTCAAACTTTTTTTTTATAAATATCTATCGACATTACTTTGGAAGAATATCACACAACTAATTTATCATCAATCACCAAGAACATGGATTTATTGGTTTTGGAGAATGATACGGTTGAAAGTGAGGTAAAAAAATCATTTCGGTGCAAACAAAGTTTCATGTTTTCTGTGCCAAAGTCCCTTTTTTGTTTTATGTGCCAGATTTTATGATAGATATTAATTTTGTTACTAATTTGGACGAGGATCATCACGAGACGTTCAAAGAAGTCGATTATTATGAATATTTTCCATCGGACAAAATTTTTTGTTGTATAAACAAATTTAAAGACTTTCTTCAGATGTGTTGGAGATTAGAAATTGTAGAGAATAAATGCAGTTCTGTAGATGATTAATAATAAATATTGGATGAGAATTAATTTTTATATTAAAATGTGTATAGCTACTAAAATACGTTCTAAAATAGGGATAAAAATTAAAATTAAAAAAAATATCCTACATTTACTAAAAACCGTCCTATATTCATCATTTCCGGAAAAAAAAATCACCAAGGAAATGTAGTAAGTAAATAAAAAAAAGAAAAAAAAATATATAGCATACACATTACATCAGTAACACAACCAAATAACCCAAAATATCACAAATAACACCCTCTTAAATGATAAACTTTTACAATAATACTCCTTTTAGATAACCACTAGGACAAAACGCCACCGCATATTGTTCTAACAAAATATATTACAATTACCCTCTCATAAAATAATGTTATCACTTATCACAATTACTTGATGAATATTCCATGAAATCAGAAAGATTCAATCAAAGTTCACACCGCGAGGGGCAATATGCAAAAAATAACAAACTTTGGGAGTTTATAGTAATTACTAGAACATGAGGGGCTTTCTCATAATTTACAAAAATAAAATCTTTTTCTTTTTCTTTATCTTTTTCTTACGATGATGTCATATTCAATAAAAGAGGGCCAAAAAAGTTTGTCGTTGAAAATTAAACTCACCACCGTGACTGGACTGGATCACGCCTCCCTCTCACGAGAATCTCATCCAATCCTCACTTGACCGCCGCCCCTCCTCTCCGTTTCCATCTCTCTCTCTCTCTCTCTCCTCTTTCTCTCTCTAGAAGAAAAAGCTTTTTTTTTTTTCCTACGTAGACTGGCTTACGCGCGTTGTCGACCTGCACTTTTGAACTCCTCCCCACCATGTAAATAAAATACAGTACAATCAAACGTGACAAATTGGGGTGTGGGGGAGAGTACAGTACTGTAGTTTTCGCAGCCAGTATTTACATTTAATTAATTAATTTATATTTTATTTTACCAATTACTCGTCCTTCACACACACACACACACACACCAACCACCAAACCCTTGATCGCATCGCCCACCAACTCTCTCTCTCTCTCTCTCTCTTATATTTTCTTCTTCCTTGGTCAGAAGAAAATGGGGAGTAGTATGATGGAGTTGCAGGGATCGGAGATTGCGAAGAAGATGTGGAAGAAATTGAAGAACGGAAGGGCTTTAGCTCTCTACAGCCCCTTTATAGTATGCTTGGCCTCCGGCACTTTGGACCCTAACTCTTTTCTCAGCTGCATCTCTCAAGATCTCTTCTTTCTTCAAGCTTTCGCCCACGCGTACGTACTCAATTCATCGTCGAATTTTGATGAAATTGCAATTTTAGGTCTCATTGGAGATCTGAAATTAGGGTAATTTGTTTGAATTTGGGATAAAAAAACAAATTGTGTAATTACTGCAGGTATGAGCTGGCAGAGGACTATGCAGATGATGAGGAAGATAAGGAAGCCATTGTAAAGTTGAAAAATCGCGTTTTGAAGCGATTGAGGAACCAAGACACACTTATTCGTGTAAGCCGATTTTTTTTTTTTTTTTTTTTTTTTTTTATTTTTTTGCCGGAAATTTAATATGTATTTTATTCCATGGTTGATTCCTTTGTGCAAATTGTGTTCAACTAGTTGTGGGTTTGCATCTATTTGGATGAAGGTGGTACAATGTTCGTTGGCTTTTCTCGATAAGTGCAAAAGTTTCACGAAGAATTTGATCGTATTATAAGAATTACTCTATAAATGCAAAAGTTTCATGGATTAAACCGATTACATAATCAGACGAATTTGATCATATTGTTAGAATTACTCATTACATTGCCCTGCTATGTTTTACGTCGACAACTATTAGCAGTGGTGAGTCGCCGAGTCCTGGAATTTGTTACAGGGTGGGCTTAAATTTTTGGGGGTTCGGAGGCGGCGTCCTTGAAATTTTTTTGACGACTTTTTGGTGACAAAATCAGAAAATAGGAAAAGAAAAAAAAAATTAGAGCTTTTTTTGCATTAATTTGTATTTTGGTGGGCTAATTAATAAAAAATGGGGATTTTTTTGCTTAATTTGGATTTTGGGTGGCTTTTTTTTTGCATTAATTTGGATTTTGGGTGAGCTAAATAGTTATATAGGTATAATTTAGGGGATAAATTATCAATTGAGTGTGGACTTGAGTCCACCCTTGCCCAAGGGTGGACTTGCCCCTAACTATTAAGTGCATGTGATCTTATACTACAACTAAAATTATGGAGTTAAACATACATTCATAATTATTCAACCGAAGTCTTTAATTATAGTACTTGAATGAAGAAGTTTCAATCCATATACTAATTATAAAATAAAGAAAAAAAATGAATTAAATCATTTTAGTCTTTGCCTTCCAATAAAAAAAATGATAATTAAGAAAAAAAAATATATGTTCCAATTATAATAAGTACAAAATGTTTGAAAAATAACAGTGTACGGTCATATAAATTTTATTGAAAGGTATATCAATATAAGACTTTCTATTCATACGATAAAAGAATATTTCAATAGAAATAAATTTATCCGATCTTAAAAGAAAATAGAATTCTGTTTGAAGAGAGAGATTAGTGAAAAAGAAAAGTGAGAATTACAGTGTAATATTCTGGTCTTGTTTTCTTACATTGGCTTATATGATCAAAAGAAGCATTTACAATGTAATAATGTGTTTGTTCGGAGAAGTTAGTTAGATTTGTTATTACGTATCTGTCGGTTTTCTCTGTCATTTAAATTTGCGGGTTTTTCAGGAGTGGGGCTTCGAGCCACCTGAAGAGAGTATCTGCGAAAATGCAACTCTCAAATACACAGAATTCTTGAAGGAAACAGCCTCTGGCAAAGTCGGCGCAGAAAAATTCTCCGTCAAAATCGTTACACCTTTCGAAAAGACCAAACTAGCCGCCTATACTCTCAGTGCAATTTCGCCCTGCATGAGACTGTACACGTTTATCAGTAACGAAATCCTGGCTCTTCTGCACCCCGACACTGACAATATCTACAAAAAATGGCTCAACAGTCTCTCCTCCCAAAAATTTGAGGTTCGTTCCAATAAATAGAATAATAATAATAATAACCCGTCTGTAATAATTAATAGTGGCTATTGTTTTTTACTGTCTTGCTCCATTTTGACTGCTCAGGCTTCAGCTTCGAGAATTGAAGACTTGCTAGATAAGTTGAGTATTTGTTTGACCGGTGAAGAATTAGCTGTTGTAGAAAGGCTCTATCATCGAGCAATGAAACTCGAGTTAGATTTCATCTGGTCTCAGTCGGTGACTCAGCGAACCGTGGTTCCCTTTTCACGTCTCAACAGATGTGCTTCTGGAGAGAATAATCTCGTCATTTTTTGCGACTTTGACTTGACTTGTACTACTATCGATTCCTCTGCCCTTTTAGCAGAGCTTGCAATAGTCACAGCAGCTAACGAAACTGCTGATATTCGGACAACATGGAGCAGCCTTTTCGGACAGTATGTTGAAGAGTACCAACAGTGTCTCGATATTATTATGCCCAGCAGTGATATAACGGAACAAGGTTTGATAAATTATACTGTCTTATGTTGTAGAAAGTTAGTCGATCATAATTGCTAAAAAAAATTTAATCTAATTTCAGTGGAGGGACTGAATTATGATGGTCTGTGCAAAGCGCTGGAGCAAATATCTGATATCGAGAAAAGAGCAACTTCGAGAGTTGTTCAGTCGAATGTATTGAAAGGATTAAATGTAGCAGACATTAGAAGGGCCGGTGAGAGGCTCGTTTTGCAAGATGGATGTAAAAGATTCTTTGAGAATGTTGTGGAATGCAAAGATTCTGCGATGGAGATTCATGTGCTGTCGTATTGTTGGTGTAGTGATCTAATCTCGTCTGCTTTTTCATCAGGTATGCTTGTGAGTTGTGACTACTTTTTTTTGCTTTTGTTTGTATTTTGCGAATTGTGATTTTTCTTGGTTATAAATACTCCCCCGTGAATAGTCGATCATAAATACTTCACTTTCGTTAAGCAGGGGATGAAACTCCGTTTAATGTGCATTCCAACGAATTAGTTTACGAAGAATCTATTTCGACCGGCAATATGATCACAAAAATGGAGTCTTCAATGGAGAAGCTTCAATCTTTTAACAACATCACCAAGAGCATCAACAATGAAACTAAGCCATTGACAGTATACATTGGAGGTTCAGTTGGCGATTTGCTTTGTTTGTTAGAAGCAGATATTGGCATAGTCATTGGCTTGAGTGCCACTCTACTGAGGCTCGCAAATTATTTTGGTATTTCTTTCGTTCCATTGTTCTCTGGTTTAGTAAATAAGCAAAAAGAACTTGCGGATAGTGGAACTTTGGATTGCAAGAAAACATCTAATATTCTTTACACAGTCTCTAATTGGGATGAGATATACGCGTTCGTTTTCGGGGCAGTAGATTCCTCCCATTCATCTACCTCGTGAAAGAGTGGCGGAGGCAGGGGTAAAGTCTAAGGAGGCCTCACCACTTTTTAAAATTAATTACTATGTAAAGATTTGTTATCTTTGGAATAGTATAGTAGTGTGGGGGCTCTTAAAGAATTTTTATAGCTTTATTTGTCCCCGCGAAAATAAAATTATGACTCCACTGTTGGAGTAAGTTTTTTTGGAAGGTTATTTGTATCGGTAGGTGATATTCGATGGTAACAGGTGAGACCTTGATCTATTTTTGGGTGTTGAGGATCACCTGGCCTGTGGCTGTTGCATTAGTGTATTAGATGGATTAGTTTGTAATGAACATAAGTAGTCACATACTTGTGATGTATGCAAAAACTGTGTATGGAATTTATGTCGTTCTTGTTGTACTAATAGAATTTTGATTATACCATGTTGTGTTGTGTGGTATGAAGATAATTTGGATACCGTTTTCAATTTCAGTTTCCCATTTCATTATTTACTCGGAATACTTGACAAAGTGATATAGTTAGAATCAACTTGATAACTGAAAATAGTCGTATATTTGCTCGGAATACTTGACAAAGTGCTATAGTTAGAATCAACTTGATAACCGAAAATAGTCGTATATTTGCTCGCAATACTTGACAAAGTGTTAGAGTTAGTATCAACTTAATAACTGAAAATAGTCATATATTTGCTAGAACAGATGTAACTATTTATTTGTGTATTTTTGCTAGAAGAGGTGGGTGATACAAATGTTATTATCTATGAAATACTTTTTATTTTTGTTCTTTATTTATTTTCAGATGGAAAATAGTGCCTCAAAGATGGCCTTCAGGATAATAGATCACTTCAATATTGGGCTGGCCTTTCCTAAAGGCCCATATTTCAGGATAACAGTCCAGTTCAATGTTTGGACTGGGCTTTCCTAAAGGCCCGTATTGGGTTTATAGCCCTAGCTGAGATTATATATCTAATGGCAATTATGTAGATCTGTTTTTATTTAATATAACCGTTCTAAATCTTGTTTATTATCTATGAAATATGTTTTATTTTTGTTTATAAAATCTTGATTATAAAAAATTACATTATGATCATGAGTAATTGTTGTGCTAGTTTTCAATAGTTTGTCCACATGAGTTATTGTCGTAGATCTGTTCCATTAACAATAATGGTTTCCAGTAGTTCTGAGTGTTGTTACCAATTTATTTCATTATCAAGAAATTGTGACGTCTTAGATCTTTTATGCCCCTCGTTATAAGTACTTTAGACACTTACAAATGAAACTCTAAGTCCTCATTTATACTATACTCCACATCCCTAATGAACGATCATGATCAACTTGATTTAATGGCTATGAGTAGTTCTCTACAACATGCTCAAGAATCCCTTGAAAACATTTACATGGGTTTCTAATATGTTTCTAAAGTCTCTAAAAGTTTTACATATGTTAGAATACTTGGAAAAGTATCATGATAAATTTAGTTGTGTATTATTCTCTCAGAGTGCGTTTGGATGGAGAAATTTGGGAGAGGGATTTCAAATCCATAATAACAAATCCCTTGAACTTGTTTGGATTGAAGGATTTGGAGATAGATTTCAAATCACCACAACTCATTTTTAGTTGTTTTTTGAGCAATTGTTGTGGATTTGAAATGACACCAAATTGGAGTTATTTCAAATCTCTTCCCCAAATCAAATCCCCCTCCAAAATCCCTCAATCCAAATGGACCCTCATAGAAGTACCCTACGTATAATCAGGGATATAAGTTTAGTTACAATCTAACTAGAACTCATAATCTAATTATACTAGCAACTCCTCAAACTCAAGGTGGATGATAGACCAAGTTATTAACCAAATCGTAATGACGTCTCTTCAGATGAGGCACGTAGCGTCTGGGAGTTCCGACACTTGAATCCGTGCAAAGTTTATGACAACTCCAATGATCGTCTGGTTTCCATTGATTGAATAAATCGGCTATAACGACGATCTTGATGATACCTTGATAGCATGTTGATTGGAATTTCATGCACGGTGGCGAATGTAGGACAACAGTGATTTAAGTTATTTTTTCTTAGTGATCTAAGCGCAGTAAAGAAGAAAAAATACAAAAAATAAGATTGGTCTACAAAAAATTACATTAACCGATGAGCAACATTAGCTTATGGTGTTTTCCGTCTCCGTGGAACCAAGCAAAAGATAGAGAACATCAAAAATAAAACTGAAAAGCAATAATTTATGGTGTTTTCCTTTGCGGTAAAAACTCGAGGAATGAGTGAAACACCAAAAGAAAGATTATAATGATAAATCAAAAGAGCGTTAGTTTATGGTGTTTTCCATCTCGGTTAAACCTAGCGAAAGATGGAAAAATACCAAAAAAAACCAACAGTATGACTTTGATATAATGTTAGAATACTTGAAAATGTATCATAATAAATTTAATTAGTGTATTATTCTCTCATAGAAATACCATATTTATAATTAGGGGTATAATTCTAGTTATGATCTAACTAGAACTCCTAATATAAATATAACTCTGTAATAATTAAATCATAATTATACTTACAATATACAAGTGGGACTGCTACTAACAACATACAAGTGGGACTGCTTGATCAATACTTCCATGCCTAATCTGATGACGTCCTCCTCGCATCGAACAAGCGGAGTCCATCTTAAAATGGCGAAAATTCCTCATTTATCCCTCATGTTATCTCATATTTGGATCGTCCAATTTACTCAATAAGATATTAGTGACTTCATGCTTGAGCAATGAATACCATATGATTAAGGCCATATGATACCTCACATCTCCACACCAAGCCTTTGTGCACGTCCCCAATGCGTTGAACTACTATGATAGTAGTTTTGCCATTATTTAGTCTCGGACGTTATATTCATATGGTCGTCGTTTCTTATGATCGGATCATTGGTTCACGAGTTGTCTTGCCTTTTTGGGGCATGATCTGACTAAGTCGGCTTGTTCTTCCTACGACGTAGCTATGTTTAATACTCTATGACTCCTTAGTCTCCTTCCATCTTTTGATTCATTGTCGAACTGTAAGTCGTGAGTAGTTGTTGTCACATGGCTAGCTCGGATGGACTATGTATGTGGTCGCTAGCTCGGATGGACTATGTATGTGGTCTCACTCCGCTGCAATTTGTATGAGAATTGCTCCATGTTGATAAGTTTGGCCAAGTTCATTTGGTTGGACGCCAAAAAGTACGGTGGGTAGCTCTGGCTCGATTAAAGCGCTAACCCTTTCCGTTTGCTAGTCGAATTGGTAGTGAAAGCTAGTTAAGAAGCTCAACTTTGATCCTAAAAGTTTAAAGTGCTTTGTTAATAGCTTTCCCGTGAAGCGAGAGTTTTGGTCTCTCATTATACTATTATATCCCAATATTACATGACGCTTTTAAAGAATAAATAACCTTCTCACTTTTGCAGATGTACAGTTACTCAGGTCGGATGTACTATGAACATCTTTTGAAAAAATGATATATGACTAACATGATCGATCCAAAACTCAAATTATTCACTATTTAATTTGAGATAGATTTTTAAAAGTTTATTTGAACCCGGTTCGTTAGCTTAACAAATCTAACTTGAACAAAACATTTCATTCAACGAGATACAAGTATCACTTGGAGCTCAATTCGGTTAGGGAAAAAATATAATGATAATATGTGTTAAGAAATCAAACTACTTGAGTTTGATTCGTGTTCAGCTCGATTAAAGATCGTTTGAGATCGATACGATTGATTATCAAACCAAACTCAAACACAACTTTTAAAGATCAGAAAATTTTCAAGTAAGTTTATATGTTCGACTCGATTCAATTCGTTTCGCTTACTTTACAACACCTAAGGGTGGGAATAAAAAAAATTGGATCGTAAAGTAAATATATATCATTTTTTCGGATCGATTCCAATTAGTTCTGAAATAATGGAAAAGCAAATTGATACCAATTTCATAATTAACGGACTTTTCAAGAAAATTTTTTTTTTTTTTTTCGAAATCGTGTTACTTCTATATTTTCGGAAAATTGAAATGAAAATTCCAATTGTTTTGTCAAAAAAAGTATCGTTTTTAAAATGCAATTGCTATCCAATCGTTATTTCATCATAATACCATTTTAATATTTTATGCATAAATATTTATATTTATTTACATATATTATATTTAAAATGCATCACATAGAATTATAATATTGTAATTATATGATATATCTTTTTTTGTAAAAACTCGGAATTGCAAAATCAAAATCGATTGGAAATCAAAATTTTCAATTATTTTAGATATATTCTAATTTCGATCCTAAAGACTTTTCTTCAAGATTAAATTTTTTGAATCAAAATTGACAGAATTCGAAAAAAATATATTCCAATTTTCATCCAATCCTAGATCTCATGACCAATTGCTACAATGACCTTTCTATTAATTAATGAAAAACCTTCCAATTTTTAAATAACAAAATATAATACTATACAAATAAAAGTATAGATCTTGAAAATGAGTTCACTATTCGCAGAATCACATTATTGTGTTCTCCTGGTGTCATCCAGTTAATCCATTACCCTCCATTTGATCTAATGGGCCCACGTATGCATGTGATGCCACGTGTGCATCTATACATGATTCTTTCTTCTCCATTTTCTTAATCAATTAATGATTATTGTTATATTATTAGACATTGTCACTATTTTAGAACTTCTCACATAATTGCCAAATCAGTGGTTGCATATATGCCCCATATATATATCATGTGTATGTATATCTATGTACTAGCGAAATTCTAAGCTTGTCTAATTCTACATGTTATGCAATTAGTAGTAATAACAACTCCTCCAAAAAGAATTAATAACAATAGCAATAAATTATTAATGTTATTGTTTTATTTTGATAATGAAAGAATTCACAGCCAGCCATATTGGTGCATTGAGTAAATTTACACTCTCGGATAATAATTTGCAAACTACACGAGAGACGTAGACTACAATAGACTAATCATGTGTGACAAACTCAACCTAGTAATCGTTGACACGAGGATTTAAACTTGAATCAATTTACACAAACTCAGTTGCACCATATTATTATTATTATTATTATTATTATTATTATTATTATTATTATTATTATTATTATTATTATTATTATTATTATTATTATTATTATTATTATTATTATTTGTTATTGTATAATCATAATAAGATTTTGAAACATTAGATACCATTAGGTATTATAACTATATTTTTTTTTTCATTTTCCAATGTTAATAGTAGTAATTTGTAGCTCAATCCAACAAAATTGTTAAAATAAATAAAACATGAGACAAAATGGGAATTGGAACTTCAATAGTGTGAAGAGGCATGAAGAATCAATTATTATTATATTATCTCACTTAAAATATAATTAGGAGAGAAGAAATTAGTAGTAGTAGTAGTAGTAGTAGGGATATAAAGAATGTGTTGTTTTCACATGGCATCCATTATCCTTCCACTTTACTATATATCCCACATAGTGACACTCCACTTCCCTCTTAACTTATAACTCCCATATGCTTGCATGTGATAATTATCAACCTTCTCTCTCTCTCACACACACACACACACACACACAATTATTTAGATTAAGTTGAAAAAATTAAGTCTTGATCAATAATTAACCTCAATTTTCTATGTTTAATTCTTGTTTCTTCTCAAATTTCGGTACGGATGGCAATTTAACGCGCCCCGCCCCACCCTGCCCTGCCCCGAATTCACCGGGTAATCCCCACCCGTTAACTAATGAGGCGGGGTATGGGTTTTGAAAATTTCACCTGGGAGGGGTTTGAGCCGAAATCGGGTATCAAGTATATGCACATGTACCCGTCTAATATCCAACCCGCTTATATAATTTTATATATTTTCATATTATAAAATAATAACTTTTAGAGACTTTTTAGTTAAATAAATTATGAATCTAAAAAAAATACGGGTACGGAACGGGACGGGTACCTGCGGGTTTTTTACGGGTGGGGGCGAGTTTTATAAAGAAATTTTTGTTTGTTAACATTTTCTTTTTCTTTTCTTTTCTTTTTTCTTTTTTTCTTTTTTTCTTTGTGGGGTACAAGAATGAGTAGCCCTCATATGATCTTTGTCATTCTTGTAGGCTGTCTTTCATTACAAGATAACTATGTTTAAAATAAAATCCAAACCATCCACCGTCACTCACATTGGTTAACTTTTTTAAAAAATCAACCTTTTTTTTTTATCTTTTGACTTCATTTTCTTAGTAGTTCTTTTCTTCCCGGTTTTTTTGCGGTTTGTTCGATTCTTATCCAAGCGACCCGGGTTTGTGTCATTTTCGAGTTTTACCGTTGAACCGAGCCAGACAAGCTACCGGTTCCCGGTTAGACCGGTTCGGTTTCGAAAACACTGATCAAAATTGTTTTTCTCTTCTTAGCATGTCTCTTATTACCCTCGTGTGGCCGTCACTTATACAATCTTACCAAATATTGATTCCGGAATAAACTAAAAATAAACAAAAATTAAAAGAGATTTTTTTGGACAAAGAAAAAAGATATTGTATTGAACTAACAAAATATCAAATAAGTTGAATTATTTAACTAATCATAATTTATCTTATCAACAAAAGAGGCCGCAATTTAGTTAAATTTATCCTTTTAAGTTTTAAATACAAGAAAATTTGAAAATGTCTGTCAATTGGTTGAAGAAAAAGTATATTAAAATTTACAGTTCCACCCTTTACAAAAAAACTGAAAAAGTACTATGAATGGTATATATTCAAGTTTTGACTGCCAATCATTAGGGGAAATTAAATTAAATTAAATTAAAAAGATGATGAAATTCAAAGCAACACATTCCATCCATGTTTGATGTCGGACTAGATTTCAATAAAAGCCAAATATTTGCTGTCACTGTAAGAGTTTTCACAGCTAATTACACTTCCCAAGATCTCACGACCTCTTCTGTAATCATATTTATTAATTAATCAATTAATTAATTAATTAATTAATTAATTAATTAATAAATAAATAAATGAAAAATCACCATACAAATTACTCACATTGTTACACTGTCATTCAATCTTTCCATCTTACTCCACTCCATTACTTCTCCGCCGCTACCCCCACCGTCCACGTCACCATTATTTGCTGCTCCACCACCGCCGCAGCCGCCGGTCCACCACCACAATGCTACAAAACTAAGAGGAAAAAAAAAAGAATTAATATGAAGTTCAAAAACAAATTTTCCCTCCTTTTATTCTTCTTCTTCTTCCTCTCGTACTTTTGCTCGGTATTCGGCGAATCGAACGATCAATTGTCGATCCTTTTATCGATAAAATCGACGCTGATCGATCCATTGGATAATCTGAAAGACTGGAAATTAGTATCGCCGGAGTACTGCAGCTGGAGAGGAGTGCAATGCAGCTCAAACAACGGCCTAATCGAAACCCTCGATCTCTCACACATGAATCTCTCCGGCAAAATCACCGACGAAATCCAACGGTTGCAAACCCTAACTTCACTCAATTTATGCTGCAATCAATTCTCAATCCCACTCCCCAAATCGCTATCCAATCTCACTGCACTCAGAACCGTCGATCTCAGCCAAAACTTCTTCACCGATGAATTCCCCGTCGGATTCGGAATGTCGCCGGAGCTTACAGCTGTCAACGCCTCCGGGAACAATTTCTCCGGCCAACTCCCCGGCGATCTGGCCAACGCCAGCCTGCTCGAAAGCCTCGATCTCAGGGGGAATTTCTTCGAAGGATCCATTCCGAAAGCTTACAGGAGTCTCACGAGGCTGAAGTTCCTCGGGCTTTCGGGGAATAATCTCACCGGCGAATTACCGGCGGAAATCGGCGAATTGGCGTCGCTGGAGACGGTTATTTTCGGGTACAATTCGTTCGAGGGCGGAATTCCGTCGGAGATTGGGAATCTCACGAACCTCGTGTATTTGGACCTGGCGATAGCAAATATTGGCGGGAAAATTCCTGCCGAGCTTGGAAAGCTGAAGAAGCTGAGTACGGTTTTCTTGTACCAGAACAAACTCGAGGGAGACATTCCTCGAGAAATCTGCAACATGAGTATGCTGCGGTTTCTCGATCTGTCGGACAACATGTTGTCCGGCGAAATTCCGTCAGAGATTGGTGGAATCGAGAATCTTCAGCTGTTGAATCTCATGTCGAATAATCTGTCGGGCTCGGTTCCTCCTGGCATTGGAGGATTGGCTCAGCTGGAAGTGCTCGAGCTTTGGAACAACAAGTTTACGGGATCCTTGCCGAGCGATTTGGGCCGTTTTTCGCCTCTTCAATGGCTCGATGTCTCTTCGAATTCATTCGCGGGTCCGATTCCGACTTCTCTCTGCGAAAACGGGACCCTCACTAAGCTCATCCTATTCAACAACAACTTCTCCGGTCCAATCCCGGAAAGTTTGTCCAAATGCGAATCGCTCGTTCGAGTCAGAATTCATAATAACCGTCTTTCCGGCTCGATTCCGGTCGGTTTCGGAAAACTACCGAAACTACAAAGGCTTGAGTTGTCAAACAACACTTTAACAGGACAAATACCGAGCGATCTCTCTTCCTCCACTTCTCTCTCCTTCATCGACGTATCGAAAAACAAACTCCAATCATCCCTCCCTTCTTCGATTCTCTCAATTCCGACTCTCCAAAACTTCGCCGCCTCGGGAAATCAATTGACCGGAGAAATCCCGGATCAATTCCAAGACTGCCCTTCGCTCGCCTCGCTGGATCTCTCCTCAAACGGCATCTTCGGGAATATTCCGTTGAGCGTCGCCTCTTGCGGGAGAATGGTCACCCTCAATCTCAGGAGCAACAAACTAAGCGGGCCCATCCCGAAACAAATCGCAACAATGCCCACATTGGCTGTCTTGGATCTATCCAACAACTCTCTTACAGGAGGAATCCCCGAAAACTTCGGCAATTCTCCGGCTTTGGAAACGATCAACGTTTCTTACAACAACCTCGTGGGCCCCGTTCCGTCGAACGGAATCCTCCGAACAATCAATCCGGAAGATCTCGTCGGAAACCCCGGCCTATGTGGCGGCAGTGTGCTTCCGCCTTGCTCACACACTAATGCAGCAGCAGCTTATACATCACAAGAACAGAATCTCCATGCAAAACATGTAATAGGAGGGTTCATAATCGGAATTTCCACGCTCGTAGCTCTAGTGATAGCAGGTGTGGGAGCTCGGTCGATGTACATGAGGTGGCGAAACGGTAATTGCTTCGAAGAAAAAACGGGAAACGGGGATTGGCCGTGGAGATTGATGGCATTCCAGAGGCTCGGTTTTAATACCAACGAAATTCTATCGTGCATCAAGGAATCGAACGTGATCGGAACAGGGGCCACTGGAACCGTCTACAAAGCCGAAATACAGAGAATAAACAAAACCGTTGCAGTGAAGAAGTTATGGCGATCAAGAATTGATCTCGAAACGGGAGGACGAGGTGATAACCATGATCTTGTGGGGGAGGTAAATTTGCTGTCACGTTTGAGGCACCGGAATATTGTGAGGCTCGTGGGTTTTCTTCATAACGACACCGATTCGATGATAATATACGAGTTCATGGAAAACGGAAATCTTGGAGAGGCTCTGCATAAAACGGGGCGGTTGCTTGTGGATTGGGTTTCGAGGTACAATATAGCCGTTGGAGTTGCGCAGGGGCTGGCCTACCTGCACCACGACTGTCATCCACCCGTGATTCACCGGGATGTGAAGTTGAATAATATATTATTAGACGAGAAAATGGAGGCAAGAATCGCCGATTTCGGTTTGGCAAAGACGATGATGAAGAAGGACGAGACGGTTTCCATGGTTGCAGGCTCTTATGGCTACATAGCCCCTGGTGAGTTTACTTTTCCTAGTTTCTCTTTTATATTTAAAAAAAAAAATTACTTATTTTTCGGGGAAGGGTATTTACGTAAATTTTCTCGACAGAGTACGGTTATGCGCTGAAAGTTGACGAGAAGAGCGATATATACAGCTACGGAGTGGTACTAATGGAACTTGTAACGGGGAAGAGGCCGTTGGAACGTGAGTTCGGAGAATGTGTAGATATTGTGGAATGGATAAGACGGAAGATGAGAGAGAACAAACCTTTGGAAGAAGCTTTGGACAAAAACCTCGGAAATATCAAACATGTGCAAGAAGAGATGCTCTTAGTACTGAGAATAGCAGTTCTTTGTACCGCAAAGAGTCCGAAGGACAGACCTTCGATGAGAGATGTTCTGACTATGCTCGGAGAGGCGAAGCCTCGGAGGAAAAGTAGTAGCAACAGTTATTACAGTGAAGTGAATACTACTAGTAATAACAAAGACAATAAGCCCGTGTTTAGCACGTCGCCTGTACATTAATCAGCCTTGGCCTTCTGTCGATGGTTTATATAATTTGTAACTAGAAGAATGTTTTAATTTTTTATTTTATATTATTTTTTCCTTGTACGTAAATTGGGATGCATCGACGGCCTCAGATACGAAAAACGGTGAAATAAATTCATTAAACATATAAATTTCATTACCAGTTCGTGTTGCAGCAAAACGAAAAAGAGTGATATGCTGCAGTTTTTGAAGTATGATATCTATATGTACAACCACGAGTGATATTCGCCTCGACAAATGTCATCTGTAATATATATATAGCATCTCTATTTCATCTGTGATGATTCCGAGCTAGGCTCGTTTCAGCGTATATTTTAGAATCTTATCTATGTGGGGCAATTATTAACACTCTCGGTTCATTCCACGAGATCTTGGAGCTGCAAGGAGAAAAATAAATAAAAAATTTAAAAATAAAGGGCATGCAAATATAATTAAGATATCGAGTTTGTAACGAGAGATTAACTAAATGAAGAACACAACGTACCAAGTCCGTTAGCATCGGCTGTTCTCCTGATACGAAGTCTTCTCACTGAGCTCAGAAACATCCTGTTACAAATCAAAATATACGTAATTGTCACTAAAAAAGGTAATGAAATTCATAAACGGGATGTAATTTAGCAAGAAAGAAAAATGACGTACTCCCAAGGAACATCTCCAACGAGCATCCAGTCTCCGTCTTTGTCTTCATAAGTGAGAACAAAGTCCGATGAACCATCCAACAATCTCATATGTCGTCCTCTACCACCTATTACAACTTGCTCCTCCACATTCGATCCTAATTAAATCATGCCAAAATTGTCATTAGCCAATCAAACTATCGAATCAGCAAGCAAGCAGCAACCATCACTTGACTAATTAAAAATCTACTAAAGAAGTCGGAATTTGTAACCGAAACTTCACAAGAAAAAAAAAATTATATTAGACAAAATTCCCATCTTCATTTTATTTGCACTAAGGCCTCGTTTGTTTGCCAAGATAAGATTAAATAATCTAATGAAAACCCAATTATTTTATCGGATCCCTGGACGTCCAATAAAAAAGCTCCCTAAAAGGCAAGATAAGCCATGATAAGATAATATTTGCGGGTCGACCCGGCAGGTTATTGGGGATACCAAATATTGAACAAAGTCCAATTATTTAATTAATCATGGCTAATCTCCCCAACCAAACGAGGCCTAAAGGGATTAGTCAATATAAGATACTTGCATTGTAATTAGGGCCCGATGTATATATAGTTGGACTAGAAAAACGAGAGGCCAGAAAAAATTACGTCTTGTTGCACAAGCTGATGCGTCGAGTGTGAACATGTGGTCCAGCGTCTGACCTAAAGTCTCATAGCAGTTATGGGCATGCAGATTGATCTTTCGTCCAATCGAGACCCCATCCATGTTTACCTTCACAAACAAGGATTTCTTGAGAGTCGTGCCTCTTTCCGATGAAACATTTTTAATCGTATAGCTGCTTCTATAATTGATCTTATCCATTGCAACAGTCATGTTTTTACGTTTATTATCAACGTTCGACGCACTTTCTTCGGTGATTGGCGATTTTGTGTGGTTTACTAAGCTGTTTATCCTATGAGTCGCGATCGGAGGCCATCCACGAACCTGACTACTATAATAAATAGCATAACGGAAACAAAAAAAAAAAAAAAAAACGTTTTAAGTGGTACTATAGTTGTTCGAGAAACAATAATCGATAAATACAAAATAATTTTGGCGATCAGCCAATCACTAACTTCAGTTGCGTAACGATGTAATAAATCAACGATCCCATGATGTGATAAAATCGAGTTAACGAACTTATTGGTTTCGAAACCTAATTAAAGCTAACTAACTGTTGAAACAATATTAAAGCTTCCTCAAAAAACACAAATTGAAGCAAAATTGTGAGACAGCAATTACAAAATGAGTGTTAAAATTGCAGAAATTTAATTGTGCAACAATCATTCACAAGCATAATAATAAATATTAAAAACATTATTCAATTAAACTTTTATGATATAATTGTTAATACTGAAATAAATTTATTAATCACCCAAAAAAAGGGGTAAATTAGAAAGTGGAATCACCTGACTGCAGAATGCGCCGGCGGTGAAGATGAAGATGATGAAGATGAAGATGGGGCTTTAGCAGTCAAGATTCTTGCATACTGATCCCAAGAACCAACTCCGCCGCCCGCCGCCGCAGGCGGCGGCGGCGGCTTTCCACCACCGCGACCGAGACTCAATCCAAGGCCCAGCTCCAACTCAGAATCATCATCGGGGTATGAAGAAGAATCCTCCGACGAAGAAATCGCCGCCGTCGCGGCGTTCTCCTCTCTTGACAAAGCTGACATTGACCCACCGGAATTCACAGCGCCGCCGCCGCCGAAATGAACCGTATCACGCATCAAAGATTCAATATTTTTTTTGAAACAAAAAGTTATGGAAATAGTGGTGGGATGAAAATCAAGAAGAGGAAAGTGTAGGGGAAGAAGATGTTGGTGATGATGGGGAGAGTGGGGCCCACTTTTGTCGGAATTGTGCGCCTCTAACAGTAAACAAACATTGATGATTGCTGATTTTAATTATCTGCTCTGTTTTGACTTTCCTTTTTGCCCTTCCCTTTTGTAACTGAACTGACGTGATTTGATTTTGATGTTTACTGTATTTTATTAATATTAAAATAAATGTTTTTAGTAATATATAATTGTTATTAATTATTCAATATTTCAATTTTGAAAAGAAAAAAAATTAATAAATGGTTTTTTTTTTTTTGAGTAATTCAAGTCATTACAAGGGGGAAGTAGGGGAGGGGGGACTCG